TTATCAGTGCTAGACCACTCTGTGTGTTTCGCCCCTTCACCTCTACCATCAGACTCTCTGATTATGTACAGTTTTATTTCCTTCTAAGTCTCAATTTTTTGTCTACCATTTTCAATTCTCTTTAATGGTCTCCAGTGGCCATTGCTCACAGATTATGAAGTTTTTATGAGTGGAAGGAATTAAAAGGCTTAAAACCATTCTCAGGATAGGTTTTATAGTTGGGATTCTGGTAATGAAGGAACAAAGAAAAAATAAAGAAATAGGGAAATTGGATACACAGGCGGATGCTTTTATTTCTCATTGATAGACTAATAGATTGAAAACAATTGTATAAAGTATATAGAAGAAAATGCCTTCATAAAATCATGTAACTTGAAAATAATTTAGAATGGGGGTATAATAAAGCCGCACAGCCTCGATTTGTTTATTTATCAACTTTGCCCCATCAGCATCTTTCTCTATCCTCTGTTCCATCAGTGGTATAGCTACTTCTTGAGTTAGAAAACCATAATGGATCTCTATATCATACAGAGTTTGGAGGACTTATTCATTTTTCCTGCAAAAGTTAAATAAAGTACAAAACTTTCAGCCCATCAATCCTTTAGCAAGCTGTCCAAGGTGACATTTCATTAGCACATTTTGTCAGTGGATAAATCGTGCAGCATGCTCTGAAGGGAAGGTGGAAAACATCTAGTCCTTTTTCATTAGATCCATCTGAACTTGAACCACTGGAGATTACATTCAAAAAGCACATGAGACAGAAGAAGCGCTATCCTGTCTATAAACTGCATTAATCATTCATTCCCTTCAGAGTGTCTTAAGTCAGTGCCATGTCTCTGGTTAAACCCCAAACTGGCTATTCAATTTTGAGCTGCATGACAGATACATTTCAAGGAAAATCAGAGACATAATGACTCCTGCCAGGCTTGATAAAGTCCTCATTCATCAATTAAGAGGTTCCAATAAGCTAAGATGGATAGAAAAAAATAAGGGAACTTGCATGATAACACTTGCTGATTTTCTCTCCTTTCTTGGTTTGCTGAATTCCTGGGAATAGAGATCACAAAGGCTTACAGAAAAGCCTGGATTCAGAAGAGAAGTCCTATCATCTGAGGAAAGAGAGTTCCTTTGTTATTCTGCCTAGATCCAGCTCTATTCAGAATCAGCAGGTAAGGAAAAGTTTTATGCGCACCTTCATAATTCTCAAATGAGATGGTTTTAATTCACTTAAAGTTCTCCCTTTTTTTCTTTTGAACATGAAAGTCTCTGGAAATAGGAATCTACCCCTAAGTCTCATGATTTCAATTTTGTTGGATCAAATCAGAGTGCTAGGAATATTTCCCAGTTTTAAATAGCTTCAGTGTCAAAATGTTTCTGAAACATATGCTCAAAAATAAATTTTTGTTCTGTAATACCATCCAGGGTATATTTCATACCAAGAATTTTTTGTGTATATAAAATGGGGAGAATATATCATTATAACATGTACAGCATTTTCATTAGGCAAATTATCAAAGTGAATGAAAACTGATTGTAAATGGAGGCTGTTATTAAACAAAATAATAAACAACATCTGGTCATTTCTAAGCGTATGGTTAGAAGTAGTCAGTACCACTAGAGAGTATCTGATATAACTGAGGTCAGAATTTAGAAGATAATGTTAAATCAATGAAAACTTTGAGAAAAGAAAATATAATTTGTATTGCTTATTTATATGGACTCACAGAGCTAATCAATCAACAGATACATCCAAGATCTCATTGTGCCAAAGGCAACATTTGGCAATGTTGTAAAATTGCATTATGATTAAACTTTATTTCAAATTTCTTCAAAGTGCTTTGTTTTTAATAAACTAATGGTTTTCATACTATTTTTTCAAACTGTATATACTTTTACATGTAGGACTTCCTAATAAGATTTCCTTTGAACGTTAATTCTGCAGCTAAGATCCATTAGAAAACCACTGCAGTCGCTAAAATTGATGATATCTTTTTTCTTTCACTGTCACAAGACACAATTTATTTAAAAAACACAACCAGAAATTTCCATTTCTGAATCTAAGCCAACCACTGGCTCAGAAAATTTGGATGAAATATCTTTATTGCATTGATGGAATTACTGAAATTGGTTTGATGATCAGCAGCACAGCCAACACGAACCCATTTATTAAAGTGATTAATCATGGTTTGTTATTAAGCAGACTCTCCAAATGTTGTTTTTTTTTTTTCCCCTTGGCATTTTGTCTTATTAAATAGAACTTAAAAGAAGTATCTCATGTTATTTTTCTGTTGTGAAAGTAAGTAAACATTTACTCCTCTTGATTTCAGTTAAGTTTCTTGAGGCCTATAACTTATATTTGTTTGGTGATTTTTACTTTTTATAAATACTTTCCTGACAATTTCATTTGATTTCCACAACTGTGTGAATTTTGGATAGAGCCTAGTCAAGCTATAATAAAGTCTTATTGCCCAAGTTCATCTGATCAATAAGGTGACGGAGCTAGAATTTGATCTGGACAATCTGCTTCTGAGATCTTGGGCTCTCTTCACATACCCTTCCTACTCCTAAATGGGTCTAGCTCTAGAAGACTTGTATGTGTACATAACATAAATGATGAGATTCCATAGCCACATAGATGTGGCTTGAAAAGAATGTTAGAATAGTGGCCACAAGAGGAATCCTAGGAAGCTTGACCACACACATACCCAAACTCTTTTAGTCCACTTCATAAAGTCACTCCAAATAATAATAATAATAATAACAACAACACAATCCTTTGACATGGACAATTTACATTTTCTTCACTTCTTGTATGTGCAAATAGAAGCCTCTTTACGTGACACTCTAGGCAAAAATAGTACCAAAACAAGATGCTCATTAAATATTATAAGTATATTTGACTTATAAATACCTTGGAATATTCCCATGCTTATAGCCAGACTGCTGTTTTGACTTATTTATTTACGATTGATAGGAATTAATTTGATGAGAGTTACTAGAAAAGAAAAGAATCTTACTTGACTTGATGGCAGGTTATTTGCACTGATTAGGGCATTTAGAGTTTATTATTGCTGGTGGTGGTGTCATTATATTGAGCGGGTGCACAAATGTCTGGTCGAGGCAAGTTGGGTAGTGTCAGAGTGAGGGAAGTTGTGTTAGAGATGCCTACAACTAGGAGCCTTGGGTCAGAGGTCAGGCTCCCCTTGCTGTTTTTAATGCCTTGCGTCATTTAAAGGTTGATTTAGGAAGAATACTTTCAGTCTACCACAAGTATTTTTTTCCTATTAGCAAATAAATTGGGTGTTTGCACATAGATGATTTACCTAAAATTACCACAGTGGTGTATAAAGATTATTAGACAGAAAATGAGGACCACCGCATCCTGTTCAGTGGCAGATTTTGACTGTTAACCTTCTAGTTATGATTTCACTTCTCTTGGCCTCCGTTTCCTCACCTATGACATGAGTTGGTTGTACTCAATGACATCTAAGGTCCCTAAAACTTTAAGAATCCTGCATAAATAAATTGTGAAATCATGAGAAAACAAACCCCATATTCCTTCTCTCTACTGTCAATTCATTGTTTTCTTTGATTATGACAGCTTGCTTATGGGCAAAATGATCACAAGAGCATAGGCACCTATCCTTCCTCTTGCCACATTGCAAAGGTCAACACAAAGCATAGACACCACAATGAGCAGTAAATTAATTATAAAGAATATCCTGAGGTATTGAAGCAAGTGTAGGAGTTGGTGAGGAGTAGGATTTATGTGTGAAAGCCTCAGTCTATTTCAAAACATTTGATATCACCACTTGCTTCTTTTTACCAAGTACTCCCCCAAATCACAGTTGTCAGCAGTAAAAAGGGCTCCCTAATATGTGGTTTGGGAGATCACCGTAAATGTTGGAACATGCTCAGTGATTAAGATACCAACTTGTCTCTATAGACATATAATTTTTTAAAGCTCCTACTCTGAGAAGTTTTACCAGTTGAAGTTAAACTTGCCTATTTAAACAAATAATTTGATTTTTATTTAAATAACAAAAAGATTAAGAAATATACTAAACAGACACTCTCCTGTCCCCCCTTTTGGGCAGGACTGGGATTTAAACTGTGTTAGTATAATAACGCCCATGATGAACTCACCTACTATGACCTGGTGACAGCACAGACTAATGAGGAAAAATCATTTGGTTGAAAAATACAGTTCCTTAATTGCTGACACTGCAAACTAAAAGTAATGTTATGGCATGTTAGTTAAAATATTTCATTACTGTTAACAAAACCAATTTTGATTAAGCCAAATAGGCAAATCATTATAAGAGGTAATGTTTCATTGAACCCAAGAGCAGGAATACCTATGATCGTATTCCCAGGTTAATTTTAATGTCAATTGACTGGGTCCCAGGGTGTCGAGATTAAACATTACTTCTGGGTGTGTCTGTGAGGACATTTCTGGATAAGATTACATTTGAACCATTGGACTCGGTATAGTATAGCCCTCCCCAGTGTGGGTGGGTAACACCCAATCTGTTGAGGATCTGAATAGAATAAAAAGTGGAAGAAGGGAAGATTTGTCCCCTTCCTGCCTTCCAGCTTGAGCTAGAAACTCTCATCTCGTTTTCTCCTGCCCTTGGTCTAGAATTTAAATCATCAGCTCATGGTTTGCAGTCTTTCAAACGGACTGGAATTACACCACCAGCTTTCCTGAGTCCACAGCTTGCAGGGAGCAAATCATAGGATTTCTCAGCCTCCCTAATCATGTGTGCCAATTTCTCATGATAAATCTCTCTCTTGATATAGATATAGCTATCTTGAGAGAGAAAGAAAGAGAAAAATATGAGCAATTTTATATATATATATATATATGTATGTATAGTTAAAGAGAAAAACCAAAGGCCCAAAATGACCTCACTTGTGCTAAAGCCCATGATATCAAACCTAGATTTAATACCCAATCTAATTGCAGTTTTGTCCTTCCCCGGAAAAGTAATGTTAATCAACTAGTCTGGAATTTTCTGGTCAGCACCAATGAGGTAATCTGTCACGTGGGCCCTCTCCATCCCCCAGAAAGAAGAAGAGGCAATCTGCGTGATAAAACTCTTGCAGTCCCTTCCCCTCAAAGAGAAGATGTCCTGGCCTAAAATAATCCGTACTTTTCTTTTGCCAGAAACTCCCTTGCCCCACCCTTCTTCTTATAAAAACCTTCCATTTTGTACAACCCCTACAAGCACCTTTTTAGTTGTTAGTAAAGAATTGAAAAAGATGGAGTCTCTCATTTTAGGTCTGAAATACGTCTGCAAGTCTTCTCAAGAAAGATATGATTATAAGGACAAACACCTCATTCCTGTCAGGGTCATTTTCCACATTCCTAAATTTTAATGGCTTGTTTCAACTGACCCTCACCCTGATGATTATCTTGCACCCAGAATTTTGTTAAAAGACATTCTTTCCCTTTGTTTTCTTTGCCTTTGTTAACCACGGCTATAAAAACCTTCTTCTTACAACAGATAGAACATGATTCAAGTGTTATTTGAATCTGTGCTTCCTGGGCTGCAGTCCTAACAAACCCTGAATAAACTTCTTTTTGTTTTAAGTCTATCAGAGTCTACCTCATAATTGGTTGACACTTGATGGGATGCTGCCTGATTCATGAATCGCCTAACAACAAGCTTGGTTTGAGTCAGCTGTCAGGTTGTGGACATCTAGTCAGCAAGGGCTGGTGGAGCCTTGGGGCTCATTTTTATAATCCCTAACATGGCTACCAGGGGTTTACTCCTTCAGCTGAGGGTGGGGAATGGGGCTTGAGGACAGAAAGTAACACTAGGGGAAGGAGATAGGCGATATGGTCCCCAGCTAGGTAAACTGACAAAGTTGTCTAAAAACACCAAAATCTCCTGGGTGATTTAACTGAGAGAACAAATATATACTTGCTAAATTGACATAACACTTGCCCATCCTTAGCATCCACATTTCCTAATGTACTGGCACTGTGATAGTGAGGCAGAAAAGAACATGCAGATTTGAGCTCGGGAAGGTGGAGGAGTTAGGCTCCTAATAAGAAAAGCACAACAAAGTGGGGTAAACTCTGTGATAAAGGTAACCACAGGGTGCTGGTGAGGCCTGAGGAGGTGAACCAACTGAACTCAGGAGGATGACACAAGCTTTTCTTGGAGTGATGACCCCAAGCCTGCCCTGCATTGACAATAGACCGTATTAACAAGGTAAAAAGGCCATGCTGTTGTGTATTACACAATTAGTCCTACATTTCTTTCAACTGGATAGGCTTTAATGAAAAGTAAATGTTTGGGCTTTAGTAAATCCATGGTAACCAATGACTTACAATTGTTGTGGAGTTGAGGAATTGCCTCAGATAACTAGAACTACCAACTGACTGCTCATATATTGAAGGAATTAATGTCTTAATCTGTAAACCTGGCTCATAATTCTTTAAATTTATTTTTACTGCATAATTATACTTTGCTTATACATGTTGCAATAAAACTGTGGCAACTCTGCAGATGCCATTCTTTTGCAATTTTTTTTTTGCCTCAATCAAGTTATTATAGCTGGGTTTGGAAAGATTTATTGTAATTGTAAATATGAGTAAACTACAGTGGAGTTTTATGGAAATATCTGTATTTTCACAATAATTTACTCTAAGAACTATACATTGCACTATAATACAAAATGAAAAGTATAGTAATACATCGTTTCAGTGTTCTCTTCCTTAAGAGTAGATATACTGCATGTCGTATGTACATGATGTAAATAGAGGCTTCGTTTCCAAATATGTACCTGTTGTTTAAATATTTTTGTTAAACAAAAGTGTTTAAATGTTTTCTAGGCTCACTAAATTAAAGACTATGTTGAAGGTAAGGTTTAACCTTAAAGTGAACTTTACACAAAACATCAATGAGCTACTGAGACAGGTGTTAGTAGAAAAACTGTTAAAAAAAGCAGGAACCAATTATTCATCTTCCAATTAAGTGTATATATTGAGAACTCATATGTGTCTAACACTGTGAATGAAAAAGTTGTACAAGAGCCGCCTATGTGCCCTATAAATAATGCCATCTTATCTGCATGCCACAACATGAAAAAGGTTGGAAAGCACTACCTTAGGGTTGTTCTCCAGAAGCAGATTAAAACCAGCTTTGGGATCTTATATTAACAATGAAAAGGGAGGACGTCAGCAACATGGCTGAGTGAGCTGTTCCCTTTGTCTCTCTTCTTTGAACTACAAATAAATGGACATTCATTGATTGGTGGAAGATACCCACACAGTACATCAGGATGCCTGAGAGACCCTTGCAGCTATACATCTGAAGGTGGATAGACTACCCCCGAGGAGGTGGTGGAGATAGGTGAACACTCTCCAGCCGCCTGTCAGCCCTGTCCATGCATGCAACTGCTTTCCTGGCTGAAGCGCCCATAGCACTGCTCCAAGGGTGCGAGTGCTCCTTGCCCCAACTGTGGGAGCAGGTGACAGCAGCCCTGAGCCCCTGCGTGATTCCTTTCCCATCTGATGGGAAAGCCCACAGTGCTGCCACAGTCCCAAGGGAGTGGCTCAGGCATGGAACCAGTGGCGAGGCCCTGCCCACCAAGCACAATGGCTGGTATAACCTAGGAGGAGATGGTGGCAGATCTGCGTGCCCAGGAGAATGACTTCCTGGCTGCTGTGAATGCTCACAGTACCACTCCAGCCACGAAAGGGGGAGCACATCTTGGTAGGACTGTGGGAGCAGGTGGTGGCAGCCCTGAGCTCCCACATAATCTCTTTCCCACGCAGAAGGAACCCACAGGGCTGCTGCAGTCACAAGGAGTGGCCTAGGCTCAGACAGGCACAGCTGACAGGATCACAGTGGGGTCAGAATACACGGCTCCTGCCCCCTGATCCCAGTGGCGGCAGGTGGAATCTGCAACCAGATGCTATCACTATGTGAAGGAACAACTCTGCCCCATCAAACAGTATGAAGAATTATATTAATACCCCAGACCAGAAGGAAAAAGACAAACACCCCAAAATCAATCCTGAAAGCACAGAAATCTAGAATCTAAATGACAGAGAATTCAAAATAGCTATCATAAAAATTCTCAATGAGTTACAAGAGCATTCGAAAGACAGTTCAATGAAATCAGGAACAAAATTAATGAATGGAAAACGTTCTTCACAAAAGAGATTGAAACTATAAAGAAAAACCAATCAGAAATGTTGGAGATGAAAAACACAATGAGATAAAGAAAAATCTGGAGTCCTTAAATAACAGAGCTAATATTATGGAGGATAGACTTAGCACTTTAGAGGATAGGAATGTAGAAATGCTTCAGATGGAGGAGGAGAGAGAACTAAGACTAAAAAGAAGTGATGAAAATCTCTGAGAAATATCAGACTCAATTAGGAAATGAAACATCCGGATTACAGGTATTCCAGAGGGAGAAGTGAGAAAGAAAGGAGAAGAGAGCTTGTTCAAAGAAATAATAGCTGAGAACTTCCCAAACCTGGGGAAGGAGTGGGAATGACAAGTAAAATAAGCTAATAGAACTTCTAATTACATCAATGTAAAAAGACCTCTCCAAGGAACATATTAGAAAAACTGGCAAATCTCAATGACAAAGAAAAAATATTAAGGGCAGCAAGGCAGAAGTAAATAATCTACAAAGGAACCCCCATCAGGCTTTTTGTGGCTTTCTCAGCAGAAACCTTACAGGTTAGGAGAAAGTGGAATGATATATTCAAAATTCTGAAAGACAAAAATTTTCAGCCAAAAATACTCTAGCCAGCGAAAATATCCTTCAGATATGATGGGGAAATAAAAACTTTCCCAGATAAACAAAAGCTGAAGGAGTTCATCACCACAAGACCCCCCTACAAGATATAATCAAAAAGGGCTTCACGCCTGAAAAAAAAAGGGCTTGCACGCATTGAGCAAGGAGATAAATAGGAAGACAAAATCAGAAAATTGCAACTCTCTATCAGAACAGATTAGCAAACATTTAATTATAACATTAAAATTAAAGAGAAGGAAAATATCAAGAATAAATATAATTACTTCATTTTGCCACAAACTCACAACACAAAATGGAATAAGTTGTGACAACAATCACTTAGATGGGGAAGAGGAGAGGGGTGGAACCTGCTTAGACTAAGGGAATAATAGAGTATCAGAAAATGGACTATCTCATCTATGAGATCTTTTATACAAACCTCATGGTAACCACTAAACAAGAAATCAGAACAGAGCCACAAACGATAAATAAAGAGAAAACCATCAGAGAGAGCCACTAAACTGAATTGGCAGTCCAAAATACATTGGACGAGAAACGAGAAATACAGAACAACTGGAAAACAAGTAATAAATGGCATCTCTAAATGTAGATTAATAATCACTCTAAATGTAGATGGATTTAATTCCCCAATCAAAAGGCACAAAGTGGCTGTATGGATTAAAAAAACAACACCCAACAATATGGTGCCTCCAGGAATCACATCTCAGCTCTAAAGACAAACTCAGGCTTAGAGGAAGGGGATGGAAGATGATACTCCAAGCTAATGGCAAATCAAAGAAAGCAAGTGTTGCTATACTTATATCAGACAAAGTAGATTTGAAGGTATAAAAGACAGTGGGATATGAATAGGGGCAGCATATATAATGACAAAAGGGACAATCCACCAAGAGGACATAACACTTATATATGCACCTAACATAGGAGCGCCAAAGTACATAAAGCAAATATTAATTGACCTAAAAGGAGATATTAACAGCAACACAATAATAGTAAGGGACCTTAACACTCCACTTTCATCAAGGGATAGATCATCCAGACAGAAAGTCAACAAGGAAATAGTAGAACTAAAGGAAAATCTAGATCAGATGGACTTGATAGATATATATAGAACACTCCATCCAAAATCAGCAGAATACACATTATTCTCAAGGGCACATGGAATATTCTAAAAGATAGACCATATGTTGGGAAACAAAGCAAACCTCAATTAATTTAGGAAGATTGAAATCATATCAAGCATCTTTTCCAATCGTGATGCCACGAAACTAGAAATCAACTACAAGAAAAAAGCTAGGAAAGTGACAAACATGTGGAGACAAAACAGCATGCTACTGAACGACCAATGGATCATTGAGAAAATTAAAGGAGAAATCAAAAAAATCTGGAGACAAATAAAAATGAAAATACACAATACCAATTCATATGGGATGCAGCAAAAGCAGTCCTAAGAGGGAAATTCATAGCAATACAGGCTCATCCTAACAAAGAAGAAAAATCTCAAATAAGCAATCTTAAACTGCACCTATAAGAACTAGAAAAGAAGAACAAACAAAGTGCAAAGTCAGCAGAAGGAGAGAAATAATAAAAGTTAGAGCAGAAATAAATGAAATTGAAACAAAAAAAACAGTAGAAATGATCAATGAAACTAAGAGCTGGTTCTTTGAGAAGATAAACAAAATTGACAAACCCTTAGCCAGACTCACTAAGAAAAAAAGAGAGAAGGCTCAAATAAATAAAATTAGAAATGAAACAGGAGAAACTACAATGGCTACCACAGAAATACAAAGGATTATAAGAGAATACTATGAAGAACTATATGCTAAAAAAATTGGACAATCTAGAAGAAATGGATAAATTCTTAGACTCATACAACCTCCCAAAACTGAATCAAGAAGAAATGGAGAATCTCCATAGACAAATCACAAGTAAAGAGACTAAGATAGTAATCAAAAACCTCCCCAAAAATAAAACTCTAGGACAAGATGGCGTCTCTGGAGAAATCTACCAAACATTCAAAGAAGATTTAGTAGCTATCCTTCTCAAACTACTCCAAAAACTTGAAGAAGATGGAACACTTCCTAACACACTGTATGAGGCCAACATCACCCTGATCCCAAAGCCAGAAAAGGACAACACAAAGAAGGAAAATTACAGGCCAATATCGCTGATGAAAATAGATACAAAAATGCTCAACAAAATATAGGCAAACCGAATACAGCAATACATCAAATGGTTCATACAGCATGATCAGTTGGGATTTATACCAAGGACACAGGTATGGTTCAACATCTGCAAATCAATCAATATGCTACACAACATTAACAAAATAAGGAATAGAAACCACATGATTATTGCAATACATACTGAAAAGCATTTAACAAACTCTAATATCCATTTATGATAAAAAACTCTCAATAAAATGGGTATAGAAGGAAAATATCTTAAGATAATACAGGCCATATATAACAAACCCACAGCCAACATCATACTCAACAGGGAAAAACTGAAAGCCATCCATCTGAGAACAGGAACAAAACAAGGGTGCCCACTCTCACCACGTCTATTCAACATAGTATTGGAGGTTTTGGCCAGAGCAATTAGGCAAGAAAAAGAAATAAAAAGTTTGCAAATTGGAAAGGAAGAAGAGAAACTCTCACTGTTTGCAGGTGACATAATTTCGTATATAGAAAACCCTAAAGAGTCCTTTGGAAAACTATTAGAAATAATCAACAACCACAGCAAAGTCGCAGGGTACAAAATCAACTTACAAAAATCCACACACAAACTTGTATATCAATGTTGATAGCAACATTATTCACAATACCAAAAGGAGGAAACAACCAAAATGTCTATCAACCGATGAATGGGTAAACAAAATGTATGGTATATCCATACAGTGGAATACTATTGGGCTATACAAGTAAATGACACATGTTATAATATCAATGAACATTGAAAATACTATGGTAAGTGAAAAAAAGAAGTCACAAAGGCCACAAATTTTATGATTCTATTAACATGAAATATCAAAAATAGGCAACTATACACAGAGAGAAAGTAGATTAGCAGTTGCTTAGGACTGGTGCGGGTGGGCATAGCGAGAAATCAGGATTGACTGCTACTGGGTACGAGGTTTCTTTCGAGGGAACCAAAATTTTTGTAAATTAGGTTGTAGTGATGGTTGTGAATAGAATAAGAAAACATTGAATTGAGTACTTTAAATGATGAATTGTACATATGTGAATTGTATCTAAATAAAACTTAAAAAAATTGATGAAAGACCCACTATTTTCAAACATGTAAAAGAAATGAGAAAAAGAAAGCAGGCTGACACATTATACCCTAATCTTCAACACAGATTCAATTTCAGTGTGAGCCTGTGATTTTTAGTACAGGATACTAAATATTAGGCAGGGAGTATTTTCTGAGTGTCTTTTGAGTGCCCAATTCCGTCTATGCACTGTAGAGGATACAGGGAAATCTAGACGAAAACCAAAAAGCTCATCCAGTTATGTGTTTTATCTACATGATTGCAAATATCCAGATGGCGAAAGCTACTTTTGAAAATATAAATGCTTAGATAAAATCATTCTCCCTTTAAATCTCTCCCTCCACTCTGTTCTCTGTCTGTCAACATTTCACACTGACATCCAATTAACTGTGCTCCAAAGTCCCACTTGGTAAGCAAGAATGTTGACTTCATTATGTTTTCATTACATTTCCAATAGTTTCTTCCGCAATGGAAATTAAGTTTATAGTATGATCAAAGACGTTAACACACCACCTGTCCTATGTCATAATACTTACCCTTTTTAATGGAATAAAGGTTATGGTGGGAATTCTTTTAAACAACCAAGGGGAGATATGCATATTATATTGCAGATTTTAAGACACTTTTCCTGCATATTTAGCTTTTTGCTTCCCCTTTCTCCTTTTGCTTCTATTTAGTTATTTAGTGTGTTGATTTTTTCATCACAACAAATATTATTTAAGCCAACATTGTAGTGAAAAGATTTAACTTATTTCTTATTAAAAATTACTTAGAAAATATTGTAAAACTGCTTCAGAATGTATAAAAATTGTGAAAATTTCTTAAACTCACCAAAGTAGGTTGGATATTTCAAATATTTTTAAAACATTATACAAAAAATTTGGTAAACTTATTGAAACCCAGGGTGGTTATTTTTATGTATATTTCAAGATCAATTAAGTCTTAGATAGGATTATCACTATTATAGTTTCTTCTTTCTTGCAAGAAATGGTTTGAGTGCAAATGATTGCTGGGTCTGGTTTTTAAAGAGAGAATAATTTTCATTGTGGATAAACTAGATGGGAACACTATTTCATAAGGTTATAGTCATGATTAGATTAGGTGATGCTTTTTAATTCCTTAGCACGTTGCCTGGAACATAGTACTCAATAAATGTTGGCTTACTTTTTACACTCTTTATATTAATTAGTTGTTTATATTTTAGCAACAAGTGCTAACATTTATAGACAGTTGATAAAGTTGGGCTTCCTGGAGTTGCAAACCCTACTGGAGTTGCAGACGTCAGGCTTTTGTTCCCCCTCTCTCCCTCCTTGCAGCTATAGCAGATAGCGCTGATGGATCACAGCACTTTGAGTATTGTTGGGGGTGGGGGGGATCCCCTTTCTACCCTTCTTGTGTTCCTATGGCTGGACTCATAATAAAATTGACACAAGACCAGATTACAAGGAGAAAAACCCAGTTTACTACGTACGCATTGGAGATCATAGAGAAATGATGCTCAGAGAGTGAACAAAGCAGATGGTATGCATATCTTGTACACAAAGAAACAATAAATTTGTGAGGAATGACAGGGCAAAGAAACTTAGATTTGAGGTATGTAATTAGTGAGGAATTTAAGCAGAGTTAAGGCTTGAGGTAGTAAATTAGCCAGGGTTGTTTATGCAGGCTTCTTGGCCCTGAATCCCCTGGCTTCAGTGATAAGGATGTGGGGAGAGTGCCTTTCACATGGGAGATGTATTACCTGCTTTCAGGAGAACAGAGAGAGAAGGGTCAGAAAGCTCTTTGTGCTTCTTGAGTAACTTTAATTCAAATAGTCAATATGCCATTGTGGGAAATTTTGGGGTGGCCTGCCCTGGGCCTCAACAGTATGTATATTTCTCAACACTGCTAGTAGTAGCCGTTAATAATGGACCTAACTTGGTACATGGGATGAAAACTACTTGCCATTCTCACTTTGAGTTGTCAATAGATGCTTTTAGGCAAAGTGGCAAGCTGGGGTGACAAGGGATTTGGTGACAGAAGCACTTCCATGGGCCACTTGCATTTTCTTGTGTGAAACTATTTCCACAGTTTAAGGAAACTTTTTGCTTAAAAACATTCTCACAATGACCATTGTGGAACCTGTAGAAAGTGAATATTTCCTTCTCCTTTTTACCTTGGACCTAAAAGATACAGAACCAAATTCACTAACATTTGAACTGAGAACTTGAGGGTTGGAAAAGAGTAAAATAGACTGGGGCCTTCATATTACTTTGATAACTTGTTAAAACTCCATTTGCTTTGATGTCTGGAGGAACTCTTCTCACTGTCTACTGAGAGAGTACAATTAAGACAAAATGCCTCTAACCTCACAGTGTTATGGCAAATATGAGGCTTCCAATCCTAGATCCTGGCCTGTAAAATACTGATATTTGGCAAACAAGACCAAACAAAGAAACTCTGATATATGAAGTGGCATCCAAAATGCTGATTGGAAGTGGTTACCCCAAAACCATCTACAATACAACTAAAAATGTACCCAAGTCCTTAAAAAATCTAAATTATTCAGGTCAGTAGACTTTAGTTTGTGTCTCTGATTCAGGACTGACCAAGCAGATTTAGAAGCATAAGGTATCATAGGTGAAAGTTAATGAGAAATGTCAAAAGCCTCATATTCTATAGGATACTTTCCTTATTATTATTAACTTTATAAACCAATGTTAACTTTCCAAATGTTTATAAATGAAAGTAAAAAAATAAACATCTAAGGGAATGTTACGTGTGTGTGTGTGTGTGAGTAATACAGTCATCAGGTCCAAAAATAAAGATATTGCTTAAAATGATATATGATGAATTATCTAATTCCCACCTCTTCCCCTTCTCATCATTTTACCTTTGCTTCCTGCAAGTAACTACTTTTAATATTTTCTTGGATATCTCCTCAAGATTATTTATACTTGTACAAGCAAATATGAAAATGAATTTTTTTATTTTCCCCAAATGGTCACTTATTACATAGTTTTCTGGACATTACTTTTTACAAAACAATATACCCTGAAGGTCTCTTTTCTTTTTCCTGTACCAATAATTAGAAACATCCTAATTTTTTCTTTTTTTAATAACTGCATAGTATTTCATGGAGTGGATGTATATGACATACATACTGTAACCAAACTTCTAATGATGGCCATTAGTCCACAAAGTCTAGAACCAGCCATTGGAATACTAGACAGTCTAAAAAAATGAATTCCAACAGATTTCTGGTTTCAATTGTCACATATAAAAAGCTTAGAAATCATCACTTCCAATCTTAAAACAAGAAAAACGCTGAACAAACTGAAAACCCATGATTTTCTTGGATCCTTAAGAGAATTGAGGTCACAAGGCAAACTGCCACCCAGAAATCTGGAGAGACAGGCAAATACAGAGAAAACAGCCAAGATCAGCTTACCTGAAGCAGGAGTCTCTGGAGCCTTAAACTGGTAGAAAGACTTAAATGGTAATTTTCACTGATTGCTGGGGGCTGAGTGTAGACTAGCTTGAGAGTGAGAAACTCCAGAGGCCAGCCTCACAGGCAGCCCCGTGCTTTCATGGGCTTTACCTCAAGAAACTCTACCAGGTCCTCACCTTGAAGAAAAGAATAGTCCACTTGCATTTCTATCAGCGTAAGAGAAAAGTAACCCTTTGAAATATGCCCAGACGATTCTCAAAAACAAAGGACTCCCCCCAAGAGAAAAGACTTTACCACAGACTTACCCAGTCTGAGAGAAAGGCAATCACCCAACTCTAGCCCCCTCCATCCTTCCTGTCTCACCTAAGGAGATGGGGTAAAGCTAAGAATGATCTGTGAAGGACATAGCCCACTAAAAGACTGAGATTGAATCACAGATTATAGAATGCTTCCCCTCTCCCACATTTTACCACTATGTCATCAGGGCTCCAGTATACTAACAATGGATTACAGATGACAAAGCTGCAAGAAAGGGACTCTATTGAAAAGAAAGTTCTAATGGAAACCCAAAGATAACAAGAGAGACAAAAATGAAGACAGTAGAGGAAGACTCTGTCATCTACAACTGCAGAAAATAATAAACAGAGCCCCACTCCTAGCAAATTAACATAAAATCTTATACTCAAGTCCTATTTATCTCACTTCCTGTTATCCCATGCCTCATGTCTGATTTGGTTTTTATAGATAAAAGCCAAACAGGATAAAGCAAAAATCTGCACTCAAGCATATTGTATTCGAACTACAGAAAACCAAAGACAAAGAAAATCTTGAAAGAAGACAGAGGAATAAAACACCTTCTCTATAGAGGAACAAGGTCCAGAATTACAGTGGACTTCTCATCAGAAACCGCACAAGCAAGACGAAATTGGAGTGAAATATTTTAAGTGTGGAAAGAAAAAAATCACCAGCAAGTTTGAATTCCATATACAGTGAAATCATCCTTCAAAAATGAAAGAGAAATAAAGACATCCTCAGACAAACCAAAATTGAGAGAAGTCATTACCTGATCTGCGAAAAGATTAAAAGAAGTTCTTCAAGAAGAAGGAAAATGATACAGGCCAGAAACTTATGTCT